TATCACTGTGGGAGTTTGACGAAGGTGCCTTTCTCTGAGCTGTAAATGTGCTGGCAGAGGAAATAAGATAAATTTTATTATTCCTTTGGATGAAGTCAATTAACAAAGATCCGACTCCCAAGTAAATTTAAGATGAATTTATCAAAGAACTTGCAGCAAATGGGACAGTCACGACCTCTTATTGGAAGACAAGATACCGTTAATGTTGAGAATGTATGTATCGAGTGGTTAAAAATAGAATAGTAGAAAAAGCTTGTAATTGCTTGACTATATAAATAGGGTTAAATTCCCTTCTTTGTAATATCTTTCTGCAAATAATCTGCAATACTGTACTCTAGAAATGCTTACTCAGTAATAAGATTGCTTTCTTTTTTCTACATTGGGTACACAGGACTTTGCGTTGGTAGTATGCTTTATCCCCCCAACACAACCTCCATTTCTTTATCTGTTTAAAACAAAACAAAACAAAACAGAGCCTAACGGCGTTACCTAACTCATAAGGCTGTTGCAGTCACTTAATGAATTAATTCGTATAAAATGATAAGGGGTTACTACTATTAATGACATTAGATGAGGATAATGATGCCAAGAGAGATTAAGTAACTCGCATGTTATTCCGCTAGGAAGACGCAAAGCCGGCTCGTAGGCGAGGGAATCCGGTTGAAGAGCCAGGAGGCCCGCAAATCAGGCGACAGGTGACCAAGGCAGCCCCCCAAGCCGGGGCCTCACAGACTGCTCCAAACCGGAGGTTCACCGGAGGGGAACGCAAACTTTCCCCAACACCGTGCTCTGCAGCCGGCCGCAGCTTCTCTTACTCTCCCCGAGGACGAGGGCCCGGGCCTCGCTGATTCTCCGCCCAGGGTTGGGAAGTCCCAGGTGTGGAGAAGCCCGGATGATGGAAGACTCATCCACCCAAAGTGAGGCTACTAGGGGGAGCCCGGAGACCACTTCCCAGAATTCCCTACCCGCGACGTCCAGGAGCGGAAGTGCTCTGGGTCGCACGGACACGAGACTACACTTCCCAGAATGCCTGAGAGGAAACGACGGCCACGGCCCCGCCCCCTGAAGCGGAAAGACGCTCAAGTACCTTGAGCTTCTACCGACTGATTACTACGGTGCCTGCGCGGGGCCCGGCCAAGTTGTGCTGTTGTGAGCTGCTAGTGTCTTCCTGGGTGACTCCTACCCATTCTGTTGTTGAAAGTTAAGCAGCACTTTCGCCACGTTCAAGGGGCTTGGGACGAGGTCTGAATGGGGAAGAGAGGAGTCTGCGGTAAAATCCAAAAGAGCTGCCTTATAGGAAGACGGATAAAAGGAAATGAATTCTCTTTGATAGAGACTGAAACCAAACTCCAAATTACCGCCGCACTTGAAATTGCATTAGAGTGAACCTTGTTTGTTAGTATCTTCAAAGACCTAACAGAAACAAAGGAAAATCCTCTCTAGGGAAGAGAGCATCATCCTAGGTTTCCAATTATTTCTATAATCTAAAAATATATTAACATTGGACAAAGTAGTCCTCGAAGAAAAATGCATTATAAGAAATACAAAGAAAAGACTTAGTTAAGTTTTAAACTATCAAGAATAACAGCTTCACATAATATAAAGCAAACTTTAAAAAGAAAAGTTGACAGAACCACAAGGAGAAAAACAAAATTCACAATTAGAAAGAGAATTCTTAATACATACTTGTAGAATTTTAAAAGTATATACTAAAATAGAAGAGAAGCTGAATATGAAAGTGAAAACATTTCTCAGGAACTTAGTAACAAAAAATGCAGTAAGTAGATGGAAGAAAATGATGAAGATAAGAGATTGATGAAACAGAAAACAAACAAAATAAGTGTATTTTTTTAAAAGGGCCAAAGACCATTCTGTGAATAAAACAATAAAATTGACAAAGTCCAGTAAGAGTGACCAAGAAACAAAGACAAAAATGACACTATTACCAATTCCCAAAATTAAAAATGAAACATCACTAAAGATATGAAGAGAGCATTATGAGGAATATTATGATAAATTTGAAAACTATGTAAAATGGTTATAAGTTCCTAGAAAAATCCCCCTTAAAACTGAAATAAACTTAAATAAAAATCACGCATAACACTTACTGATAAAATGTTGAAAATTTTAGGAGGGGAGGATATAGCTCAGTGGTGAGTGCATGTCTAGCATGCACGAGGTCCTGGGTTCAAGCCCCAGTACCTCCATTAAATAAATAGATGAATAAACCTAATTACCTCCTCCCCCCCAAAAGATTAAATAAATAAGTAATTTTTTAAATGTTGAAAATTTTTACATAAGTCATAGCAATGCTTTCTTAGGTCAGTCTCCCAAGGCAAAAGAAATACAAGCAAAAATAACAAATGGGACCTAATCAAACTTACAAGCTTTTGCACAGCAAAGGAAACCATAAACAAAATGAAAAGCCTATAGAATGGAAGAAAATATTTACAAATGTTGTAACCAACAAGGGATTAATTTCCAAAATATACAAACAGCTCATACAGCTCAATATCAAAATAAACTAACAAACAACCCAATCAAAACATTGGCAGAAGACCTAAATAGACATTTCTCTAAAGAAGACATTTGGATGGTCAACAGGCACATGAAAAGATGCTCCACATCACTAATTATTACAGAAATGCAAATCAAAACCACAAGGTGGTATCACCTCACACTGGTCAGAATGGTCATCATCAAAAATTCTACAAATAGTAAATGCTGGGTGTGGAGTGTGGAGAAAAGGGTGTGGAGAAAAGGGAACCCTCCTACACTGAAGGTGGGAACGTTCTGAAGGTGCAGGCACCATGGAGAACAGTACAGAGTTTCCTAAAAATAGTTACCATATGATCCAGTCCTGGGCATTTATCCAGAGAAAACTCTAGTTTGAAAAGATATATCCACCCTAATATTCACAGCAACACTATTTACAATAGCCAAGACATGGAAGCAACCTAAATGTCCATCAACAGATGACTGGATACAGAAGATGGATAAAGAAGATTCCACAATGGAATACCACTCAGCCATAAAAAAGAATAAAAGTGCTTGGTAAAATTTTAAAACACTCAAAATACATGTTGCAGCAACATGGAGGAACCTAGAGATTATCATACTAAGTGAAGTAAATCAGAAAAAGACTAAAATCATATGCTATCACTTATATGTGGACTCTTAAAAGATGATACAAATAAACTTATTTACAAAACAGAAACAGACTCACAGACATAGAAAACAAACTTATGGTTACCAAAGAGAAAAGCTGGTAGCAGGGGGATGTGGCGGGGAGTAGGAGGTTGGGATTAACAGATACACACTACTGTATGTGTGTATATATATATATATATATATATATTTATTTAAATATATATATATTTAAAAGAGTAACTAGGACCATCTAAAAGAAAATATAAAGAAGTGGATTTATACTACAAGACTTTTATGAATTTACAATAGTAAAACAGTGTGGTATATATTCAAGGATATATGAAAAGACTAATGGAAGACAATAGAAGGTTCAGAAACAAATTCATACACATCTAGTCACTTGATATATGACAAAGATGGCACTGAAGTACAATGAGGGATGTATAGTCTTTTCCGGAAGTGGAGGGGCTAGTCCTTTGTGAATTCATATGGGAAGAAAACTCATCTTGACCTTTACTTCATCCCACATACAAATATCAGTATGAAATGGATTGTGGATCTGAAGAGTAAAAGAATTAAAAATAGCTATTAAAATATCTTTGTGACCTTGTGATGGGCAAAGATTTTTAAAAATCACTAACTTAAAAAAAGAAAATTTAAAATTCAGATTGGTTCATCAAAAGGCACCATAAAGAAAGTGAAAATGCAAGCCACAGAATTGAGGAAATAATCATATTACACACATCTGTTGAAATACTTGTAAGCAGAATATAAAGAAATCCTGTAAATCCAAGAATACGACTGACATCCCAATAGAAAAATCCACAAATTACTTGAACCAACACTACATAAAGGAGAATACACAACTGTACAATGAGCCTTTGAATAGGTCCCCAATATGCTTAACTTCATTAGTCATTAGAGTCCTAACAGAAACCTCAATGGGACACCGCTACGCACATATCAGAGTGACTAATTTTAAAATACATTTTAATTTTAAAAATTTAAAACATCTGACAGTATCAAGTGCTGACAAGGATATGGAGCAACTAACCATCATCTTGCTTGTGAGCGTGTAAACTGGTACAATCACTTTGGGAAATGTTTGGCAGTATCTGATAAAAGTTAAATATATGCCTCCCCTGTGACGTAAGAATTCTACCTCTGGAAGTAGAAAAAGAAAACACACTACATACACCCCCAAAATATATACAGGATTTGGCCCATAACATATAGTTTGCCTACCCCTGCCCTACGGTAACAAAATAAGTGAACAATTGCTATAAACAGTAACATGGTTCAACCTCACAAACTCAATACTGAGCAAAGCAAGCAAAACCCCAGAGAATATATACAACATGATCCTATTTATATAAACCAAAGGAAAAATAGTCAATGGAGTTAAAAGTTAGGAAAGTGCATTTGAGAAAGAGGGGTAGTAACTGAAAAAGCAGCAGAAAGGGTTTGTGGTGTCTGTCCCAGTCTACTGATGGTATTTCTCTGGGCTATAACGCCTGAGCTCCGTATTACCCGCACAGAGCCCCCAAGACACTGGGGCCAAATGTCGT